ATGAGGATGAGGATGAGGAGGACGAGGCATTTGCCGAGGACGGTAACGAGGATGAGGATAAGGAGGACACGGGCGCGGACGAGGAAAACGATTCATACTGTGCTAATGCTGCTGTTGATGGTGGTTCTGATGATGCGGGTAAAAAGGCGATGGTGGTGACTGGTGCTGATGATGATATTGCTGCTGCTGATGATGGTGGTGGCGGCGATGGTGACGCGGTTGATGGTGCTGCGATGACGACGACGGTGATGATGCGGATGCTGACGATGCTGATGATGGTGATGCTTCTGCTGCTGATGCTGCTGATGACGAAGACTGTGATGCAGAGGGTAATGCTGATGATGCTGGTCGTGGTGCTGCTGGTGATAGTAGTGATGATGCTGCTGATGTCGATGACGATGCTGTTGTTGAGGATGGCACTGCTGATGCTGGTGAGGGTGATGGTGATGGTGATGATGTTGGTGATGGTGGGGATGTTGCCGATGCTGATGCTGAGGCTGATGACACTGATGGTGCTGATGAGGATACGGGTGCTGCTGAGGCTGTTGATGCAGACGGTGATGCTACTGCTGATGATGCTGATGCTGCTGATGATGCTGCTGATGATGTTGATGAGGCGGAGGAGGAGGAGGAGGAGGAGGAGGAGGAGGAGGAGGAGGAGGAGGAGGAGGGAGAGGAGGAGGATGATGATGATGATGATGATGATGAGGAGGCGGAGGAGGAGGAGGAGGAGGAGGAGGAGGAGGGAGGAGGAGGAGGAGGAGGAGGAGGAGGAGGAGGAGGAGGAGGAGGGAGGAGGAGGAGAGGAGGAGGGAGGAGGAGGAGGAGGAGGAGGAGGAGGAGGAGGAGGAGGAGGAGGAGGCGGAGGCGGAGGAGGAGGAGGAGGAGGAGGAGGAGGAGGAGGAGGAGGAGGAGGAGGAGGAAGAGGAGTAAGAGGAGTAAGAGGAGGTAGAGAGGAGGAGGAGGAGGAGGAGGAGGAGGAGGAGGAGGAAGAGGAGGAAGAGGAGGAAGAGGAGGAGGAGGATGAGGAGGAGGAGGAGGAGGAGGAGGAGGAAGAGGAGGAGGAGGAGGAGGAGGAAGAGGATGAGGAGGAGGAAGAGGAGGAGGAGGAGGAGGAGGAGGAGGAGGAGGAAGAGGAGGAGGAGGAGGAGCAGGAGGAGCATGAGGAGGAGGAGGGCCAGGAGGAACAGGACGACTGGCAGACCCAAAGCAAACGAATCCCTGTGTCTGCCACCGCGCGTGGCCCGACGTGTTTTGGTGGTCCAGAGGTTTGCCGCCCTGTCAGCGGAGCCTGTGCCCTTCTTCCTGCACCTCCTCCTACTGCTACCTGTTGCTCATCCTCCTCCTGCTCCTTCCCATCCTGCTGCCGCTTCTCCCCACCCTGCTCCTGCTCTTCCTGCTGCCCCTTTTCCCTCCTCCTCCTCCTCCTCCGCCTTCTCCCGTTCCTCTCTCTCCTCTTCCTCCTGGCCTTCGCGTTTCTTCTTTTGCTGCTGCTGCGCCTCTTCCTCCTGCAACGGCTCCTGCTCCTCCTCCTTCTCCCCACCCCGCTCTCCTCTTCTCTTCCTCCTCCTCCTCCTCCTCCTCCTTTTCCTGTCCTCCTCCTCCTCCTCACCTTTCTCCTTCTCCTCCTCCTCCTCCTCCCTCCTCTTCGTCCCCTCCTTTTCTCTCCTCTTGTTATCCGCGTCCCCTCGGCGTCGGCGCGCGACGCCCTCCCGAAGAGCCGGATCGGATCGACTCGGCAAGAGGGAGCATCGATAACCACAGCGCAGCGTCGTCTGAGGCCCCCCCCCCACGGGAGCCAAAGTTGGGGAGCAGAGGCTCTCACGAACAGTTCGGGCAACACCCGGATGTTTCCCTAGCGGGACGAGCAGGGAGGAGGGGGGATACGGAGAAGGAGGGGCAGAGGGGAGGAGGACAAGAGGGGCAGCGAGCAGGGCGACGAGGAGGAATGCGAGGACGAGCCCACGTAACCAGTGGGTTCGTCCTCGTGATCGACTCGATATCGTCCTCCCTTCAAGCGGAAAACGAGGACGGGGAAAACAGGGCATGAGGAAGATACAAACCCGACTCGCACGCACGCGAAGAAAGGGTCCCGCGGGCACCGCGTCGCCTCTTTGTCCTCGATGATACCCGCCTTGAGGTAGTACGAGTAGCCCTTGAAAAACTTCGCGTACTTCTCTGGGTCCTTCTTGGCCTCCTTGTCGAGGAATCGCAGCATCCTCCGCTCGAGGAGAAGGAGGAGGAGGAGGAGGAGGAGGAGGAGGGGGAGGAGGGGGAGGAGGAGGGCAGGAGCGGGAGAAGGATGATGATGATGATGATGATGATGAGGAAGAGGAGGAGGAGGAGGAGGAGGAGGAGGAGGAGGAGGAAGAGGAGGAGGAGGGGGAGGAGAGGAGGAGGAGGAGGAGGAGGAGGAGGAGGAGGAGGAGGAGGAGGAGAAGAGAGGATGACGGGGAGGAGGGCGGCGAGGAGCAGGAGGAGCAGGAGGAGCAAGAGGACGAAATGAGGAGGAAGAGAGAGGAGGAGGAGGGAGAGGAGGAGGAGGAAGAGGATAAGGAGGAGGAGGAGAAGGAGGAGAGGAGGAGAAGGAGGAGGAGGAAGAGGACGAGAAGGAGGAGGAGGACAAATAGTGCGCGAGGAGGAGGCAAAGGAGAAGGAAGAGAAGGAGGAGGAGGAGGCGGAGGAGGAGGGGGATGAGGAGGAAGAGGGGGAGGAGGGGGGGAAGGAGGAGGAGGAGGAGGGGGGGGAGGAGGAGGAGGGGGAGGAGGAGGAGGGGGAGGAGAGGAGGAGGAGGAGGAGGAGGAGGCCCAGCGTCTGAATGAGTTCGTCAGCCACGCCTACACCTGCTGCACTCTCAAGCTTCTGGCGATCATGCGCTGCCCTCCCATGGGGGTGTCAGTCGCAATCTGTGCCGCTTTGGCAAAGTCTCTCGCCTGATCGGCGGGCGGACACCAGTTTCCTCGGCTCCTCCTTGCTTGGTGAAGGAGGCGGTGGAGGTGAAAGAGAATCACGAGCTGGCGGAGACGCAAAAGAGAGGGATCAAGGATGGCCAATCGTCGGGGGAGGGACGGGTCCACCTCGGACCCCGAAACGGAACGGACGAGGAAAAGAAATCCAGGGCAACGCACATAGTGGGCGAGGGAGTCAGGGCACTCGCATCCCATAAGACATGACAAGTCGGGGTTGCGCATGCGGGTGTCCGTGACCCACCCCCCTGTCCACGTCTTGATGGCAGCCATTCTCCAGGACGGGGGGGAGCGACGCAGAAGACCCACCAGCCCGTCCCAGTCCACCCCGCGACAAACGTCCTCCCCGACCTGGAACCAACGCTGGAGACGCTGGGCAATGAGAGGGATGAGCGAAGAGGCAGAGGGGTGCAGGATGGGGGCGATGCCCTCCTGGAGGCACCTCTGAGTCTTGATGGGCATGGAAGGCCTGCCCGCCGCCAGGGCCTCCTGCTGTGCCGGCTGGCGATCGCGCAGGAAGGCGAGGCCCGCGCGGGCGGGGGCGGCGAGGGGGCCAAGCTCGTCCGCAGCCTCCGCCGCGCAGCGGAGGTTCCAGGCTTGCGGGGGCTCTATCCAGAAGCTCGGCCACGGAGTGTGCCCGCGCCCTCGCCCCGCCCATTGCGCCAGCGGTAGGTGTTCCTCCGCCTCCGCCTGCAGCCTCGGACAGAGCGATCTCCAGACCGTTGTCGTCTCGAGGGCGGTTCGCATTCGGGCGGCGAGGGCGACAGCACGGAGCGGGGGGAGAGGGGGGCCGCCGAAGGAGTGGAGGTCGATTAAGCAGCGAAGAGGGAGCCACGGGCCAGGCGCACGGAAGAGACGAGTGAGGTGGTGTCGCTCGTCCGCCACCTCCTCTTTCGGAAGTTCGAAGAGTTGTGATTTGTACTGAAGGACGCTCACATCCCTCTCTCTGTACAAGACGCCACACGCTGCCGCATCAGCACCCGTGCTTGCAATCGCTCGTGTGCGGTCTCTGTATTTCTGCACAACTGGCGCCCACTGCGTGTGCATCGTGGTGGAAGGGCCGAGAACGCATCCCAGGTAATCTAATTCCGACACAACCTTAAACTGCTGCCACTCGTTAGAGGTTTCCTGCAGGAGCCCCTGGGCTTGATTCTTGATGGCTGGCGAGAACGGTGCCCAGAGAGGAACGCAAAAGCATTTGCTTGGGCGAAGATGCAGATTAGCGATCTTGCCCGAAACAGAGAAGACGCGGCGCAGAGCTTTGCGGCCAGGGGCTCCCCACGTCACAGCACCACAGTCATCAGCACACCATCTGGCGAGCCCCTTGCCCAAGCTCTCGCCACCCGAGAGGGCCGAGTCTAGATCACGCACAAAGGGGTCGACTCCGAGGGCAAACATGCTGCCAGAGGGGGGTCGCCTTGCATCACTCCCCCACGCACATTATACAGTGGGACCCGAGCAGAGCAAGCACTGAAAGTGGTAGCATTCACATAGGCTCCCTGCAGCGCCTCGAGAAAACCCACAGGCGCCCTCCAGGCCTCAAGAGTCCTCCACATCCAGGAATGATCCAAAGAAGGAAAAGCCTGGCCATAATCGAAAGCGAGAAGCATGGGCGACGATGACTCGGGGGGGCACCCCTCGGGGTCGGTCGCTCGCATGCTCGCGATTCGGGCCCAGGCATCGAGCTCAACCAGGTTTGACAACAAGTTTCCCCCGCGGACAAAGCCTCTCTGAGAGGCCGAAACGGACTGCTTGATACCACGGGCAAAACTAAAATTGAATGCACTCGAAATCGCTTTTGGCCCCGTTGATTTCAGAGAGAGGGGGCGGGTCGCACTCGGAGGACACGAGTGGGGGGAACCATCAGACGGGGCCTGCGATTTCGGGATGAACACTTCAATGGCGCAGTTGAAATCGGATCTCATCGGGTATCCCGAGCGAAGCCAGACCGACGCACGATAGAGAATCTCTATCCCCTGCTTCGTCGCTCCCCACGCCGCAGCGGGGAGGCCGTCAGGGCCAGGCGCCGCGGGCCTAGCGCGGGTCACTGCCTGGCGCAGAGCCTCAGGGCCAGGCGGAGGGAGCGCGTCCCACTCGGGGGCCGGCGTGGCGAAGCGCTCGAGGTAAAGCTTCTGCATCCTCGCCTTCCTCCTCTCGGAGGCTGCGTCCTTGGGCGGGTCGAAGACAGGCTTCCAGTGCGCCGCCAGCGCCTCCGCCATGCCCTCTTGCGTGGTCACTGCGCCTTGGGGGAGGTCCACCGCGGCCAGGTGCTGCCTGGCACCCCGAGGGGCCCACAGTTGTGCACGCCGCTGGAGAGCACGAACTTGCGCGATCAAGCGCTTGCGCAGCTCCTCCGCCGACTCCGCCTCGGCTTCCTCCTGAGCCTCCCGCCTGCATGCAGTTGCCTCCCGTCGCTGGGCCAACGTGTAGCGGCGCTCGAACTCGGCGGGGTCCTTGAGCGTCACCTGGTGCGGCTGGCCCAGCGGCCCCAGTTCGACCGCGTCATGCGTCCAGGGGTTCTGCGCCATCGCCACCCTCGCCAGCGCGGCGTCCTGGCGCCAGAAGGCACGGGCCAGTTGCCTCCAGATCATGGCGTTGGGGCCCTTCGCGCCCCCGTTCGTCGCCAGCAGCTCGGACTGCAGGAGCTTGGCCGCCGCCTGGAGGGATGTGACATACGCTGCGTGCGCGTCGGGGGGGCCAGCTTGTCCCAGCTCACCTCCGCACAGTAGAGCTCCACGATCTCGCGGAAGCGCGGCATCATGACCAGCCTTCTTGGGATGGGGGCGGGGCCCAGCGAGCGGGGCCGCAGCGCCCTCGGCGCAACCGATGCGATGACCATCGCGTGGTCGCTCACCTCATTGATGTGTAGCTCCCTTGGCTCGCCGCACACCGCAGCAGATTGCCAGAGCTGGCAGAGGGCCCAGCGGGGGATGCCCACCATGATTTTGTCAATCCTGGAAGCACGACGCAGACCTTGATGCCAGTGCGTCGCTCGGGCAGGAGCAAGGTCCACAGCCAGGCGCGTCGCCTCCCCCCAGGCCCGCTGGGCGTGCGCCCTCGGCCCAGACGGTGCTTGCCCAGGGGGCTGTGCGCTGAACACCTCCTGCTCCATGACGTCGCCGTAGTTGAAGTCGCCCACCACCACCACAGCGCGGGCAGCAGGGTCGGCGTGTGCCCATGCGAGGTCAGCTCGAATATGTTGAAGAAGACGAGAGCGCACCTCCGCTGTGAAGCCGTGGTTGTGCACGTTCCAGTGGCGGAGCTCAGCGCCTGACTTGAGGGCCGACACCTTGAGAGCGCGGCCAGGGACAGCGTCGAACGGGATGTATGTGATGCGGTCGCCACTCGTCTGCGCAGGGGAGACAGTGGCTACCCCGCCCGCATCAGAAAGAGCCCCGATTGGTGATGAAGCAAAGCAAACACAATCTCGGGCCGAACGACCAAGCAGCTGCTGCATGGTCTCCAACCCCGCGTGCGTCTCCTGCATCCCAAGTACGACTGGCCCCCGCCAGTGCGTCCGCAGGTAGCGCAGCTTCTTCTTGATGAGCCTCGGCTGGTAGCTGGCGAAGGCCCTGGTGTTCCACGACGCGAACTGGGCCACCCCGTCCGCCGCTCCCCAGCAACGAGCCATCCTGCTAAAGACACCACTCCTGCGCCTCGGGTTGCAGCACGCGCTCTGCCGCCTCCGCCAGCGCGACCTTGTCGAGATTGAACTTCCTGATGCACGCCATATTCCATAGCGCCTTGGGGCATGCCGAGGGGGACTCGATCTGTGCCCGCAGCAGTTGCGTCCATTGTAGCGACAGCGCCGCCGCGTCCTTCTCCATGAAGAGCTTGTGCGGGAGCAGACCTTCGATCCCTTGCTTGATCCTTTTGAGGGCAAGCTCGTGACTGACTTGGCGACGGTTCCGATCCTTACCCAGATTGAGGAGGACTTGCGCGCCCGTCGGGGCTGCTGCATGGATCTCCCGCCATTGGCCCTGCCCCACGCGCATGAGCTGCAGCAACTTGTTGACCCGACGGGCCGCCAGTGCTGCCGCGCCCTTGCAACGGAGGAGGAAGCGCTGCGAGACCGCGTCGCCCTCCAGCACCACGTGGTCGTTGAGCTGTGCCTCTGCAACCAGCGGGGCCAGGGCTTGCTCCACAGCAGGCTTGGAGAGCGCGGTCTTGGCGAAGACCGTGACGACCGCGGTGTCCGTCGCCCTGTCCCAGTTGCCGCCCGAGAGCTCCGCGGGGACGCCCGCGTTGAGCACCACCAGCTCCTCCTTGAGCTTCTGGATCTCTCTCTGCATTTGGTCGACCTGCACCATCTTCTCCTCCATGGGGGCGATGCGGTCCTCCATCGCCTGGAAGCGGCCGTCGTTCTGCTGGGCCATCTCGACGAGCGCCGTCTGGAAGGCCTTTGACATGCTCGAGCTCGCAGACGCCACCGCTGCCTGCAGGGATGCCTGAAGGCGCGCCTCCATGCTTTGCAGGCTAGCCTCCACCGATGAAGGATCACCCCCATGAGCGCGAGGCGCGCTCGAGGCCGCCGCGGATGCACCAGGCCGAGCGGGAGGTGCGCCCAGGTCGCTGGCCAGGCCGGTGCACGATGCCTGCGCTCGGCGCTGGCGAGGAGCACTCTCTCCACCAACACGGGGCAGCCCCGCGCGAGCAGCCGCGGCCGCCCAGGCGTCATGAGGGGCCCCTTCTGCGCTGGCGCCGCGCGCATGCTGTCGCCGCCAGCGCTCCAGGTCATCGTCCAGGTCCACTGTGCCAGCGGTCCGCGACTGCCCACGCCCGCTGCGAGACGTGGAGCGGCCCTCTGATGATTCATCCTCGTGGGGATGTCGGGGAGCCCTGCGCGGGCGGCCGCCGGCAGCGCGAGAGCCAGCAGCACTGCCCGCGCCGCCTTTGCCCCCCTTGCCAGAGCTTGCCATCCGCTCTTGCGAGGGGAACGTGGGGGCCGCCTCCAGTTCATCAGCGAGACGTTGCTTGTCCGCCTCGGTCGGCAGACCCACGAGAGGAAGACTGAGCGATCGGGCGGCCAGGAACGGGAAATGCCTCCGTTTACCCGACCGCGCGAGCGCGGTACGCTTCAAGACACTGCCAGATCACGAGGATCTTGCCCGCCGCGGACTAGCGGTATCCACTTGGCCCTCTGGGGAACTTTGGACATTGAGCCAAAATGGCTACGGAGGAGGAGGAGGAGGAGAAGGAGGAGGAGGAGGAGGAGGAGGAACAGGAGGAGGAGGAGGAAGAAGAAGAGGAGGAGGAGGAAGAGGAGGAGGAGGAGGAAGAGGAGGAGGAGTTGCAGGAGGAGGAGGAGGAGGAGGAGGAGGAGGAGGGGGGGGGGGGAGGAGGAGGAAGGAGGAGGAGGAGGAGGAGGAGGAGGAGGAGTGGGAGTAGGAGTAGGAGGAGAAGGAGGAGGAGATGTTGCAAGCCCAAAGAGTCAGAACAAAGCGCGGGCCAACGTGCCCTGGCCAACGGCCTAAGTGGCTAACAGCCAACGCCAAGGGCACGCGCGCAAAAGGGGTGAATCACGGACACAAGCTGGGACTGACCTCCGGCTTCCTTTCCCTGACTAGCTCCCAATAACACCACAAACGCTGTGCCTTAGGGAAGAAATCAAGAACAAACGACAAAACCAAGGACCGCCCTACACCCCGCGCCAAAGTGGCGCATGGGGGGTTCGGGGTCGGCGCCCATGGGACAATGCGCAGAGCGTTGCCCAGCGCCCGCGCCCCCACAAGCACGGCAACAGTATGCCCGCGGCAAAAAGCACTGCGACCAAGAGGTCGCAGGCGGGAAGCTGCGGGCCCCGCCTCCGTGATCGTCAACGGCGGTTCACCTCAGACCAGGAGGTGCCACTGGGGTCTCCCCGCGCCCAGGCTGCACCTTTTGGCCGCGGTGGCAGGGCACTAAAAGCCCTAGCCTGACAGCTGCAACGGCGACGGCGGCGGCAGCAGGGCGGGGAGGGGGAGGGGAAGGGCCACTCTCTGGCCCAGGAGCGCAAACAACGTCCACCCCGGAAATTAATCCAGGGCTGTGCCGCAACTCCCAAAGAGGAAAGGGGCGACGGACACGACGACGAAGCGAGACACGAAGGACGACAACGAACGACCACGAACCTCCCAGAGGGAAGTGCCGCCCTCCGCCCGTTCCTTATCGCACCCGCGACCGGGCGGGATGAGGAGCGTAACATCATCGGACCCACGCCGCATTCAGGCGGTGCCACACGGAGCCCAGGCTGCACCGCTTATCTGCGGTGGCGAGGCATTTGAAAATTGCCTCGGCCTGACGGCAGAAGAGGAGCAGCAGGAGGAGGAGGAGGAGGAGGAGGAGGAGGAGGAGGAGGAGGAGGAGGAGGAAGAATACTCTCCTTGGCCCTCGCGCCCCGGGGCCATGCGCCGTCGTGCCCCCTGCCGGCAGGACAGAGCGGCGCTCCGGTTCGGGCGGACGGAGCCACTGCAGCAGCTCGTCCCCCGACCGGACGACGCACGGGGCCAGGGGGGCGGGACTTTCCCGCTGTAAGCGGGCCTCGAGACGCCCGCTAGGGCCTTGCCAGCCCGACTGGGCTTCTCGCGTCGCCGGTGCTTGCTTGGCACCCCGCCCTGGGCGCGGGCGGCGCGACGCGGCGCGACGCGCGGCGCGGCGCAAGGCATGGCGCGCGGCACGGCGCGTGGCACGGCGGACGGCACCGCGCACGGCACGGCGCCGATGTACGAGGTGTCGGCGCCCACGTGGGTGCCGTCGCGGCGCTCCTCGGGCGAGGGGGGCGCTCCCCCGGCGCGGGCCCCCCCCCCGCGATCCCCGCTCAGCCGAGTCCGGCGCGGCGGCGGGGGGCGACCGAAATCGATCCAAGCCAGCCGTGTGCGACGAGGGCCCCGATGATGATGATGATGATGATGATGATGATGATGATGATGATGATGATGATGATGATGACGATGATGATGATAATGATGATCATGATGATGACGATGATGATGATGATGCTGATGATGATGATGATGGTAATGATGATGATGATGATGATGATGGTCATGATGATGATGATGATGATGATGATGGTGGTGATGATGATGATGGTGATGACGATGAGGATGATGGTGATGACGATGACGATGACGATGACGATGACGATGATGATGATGATGATGATGATGATGATGATGATGAGGAGGAGGATGATGATGATGATGATGATGATGATGATGATGATGATGATGATGATGATGATGATGATGATGATGATGATGATGATGATGATGATGATGATGATGATGATGATGATGATGATGATGATGATGATGATGATGATGATGAGGAGGAGGAGGAGGAGGAGGAGGAGGAGGAGGAGGAGGAGGAGGAGGAGGAGGAGGGCTGGAAGACTACCTAGATCCGCAGATCTCTCGGGGCTACGCCCGCTGCGCCCGCGACCCAGCGGGATGCCGCCACCAGGTTCCATGGGGGCGCGGCCCAAAAGGGCCCGACTGGCCCGCAGGTCAGCCCCGAAAAGCGAGGGCCAAAAGGCCCGACCCGAAAGCCAGGGAGCCCCGAAGCCCCCCCCCAGGAGCCCGCGCGGAGCCAACGGGGGAGGCATCCCTCCAGCCCCCCCTTAGGCCTTCGAGACTCGACGAGGGCGGCGCCCGCCTTCGCCAACTCCTCTCCTCGTGGAGCTCGCTGGCCTTGCCGAGCTCGCCGACGACTGCCGCTCCAGCCAGGCGATGAAGGCGGCGGAGTCCACGCCTGCCTCCGCGACCTGCTGCGCCAGGTCCTGCTTCGAGAGCTCGCCGCGCACGAGCTGCGCGGAGAGCAGCTGCGACGCCCTCTCCCCGTCAAGGGCGACGACCGACACCTTCTGGTCGCCCACAGAGCCACTCGCGATCGTGTCGTTCCCCTTGATGATGCCGTCGCTGAGCTTCCGCGCCAGCTTTAGCAGGCTCGTCCTCCTCAACCTCATCTCCTTCTTCCCTGAGCCCCGCCTCGGGGTGGCCTCCTAGGGGGGGCTGCGCTGGAAGCTTCAGGTCGCCCGCGAGGCCGGCGCCGAAGATGCCATCGTCTGCGCTTTGAGGGACACCCTCCAGGCCACCATCAAAGAAACCGTCGCCGTGCCGCGCGCCGAGGTCGCAGCCGCCGCGGTAGGGGGCCACGACCTCCCGCCTCCAGATGCCGAGCGACCTGTCCAGCAGCCTGTCGACGTCGTCGCCCCCGTCCGCGGTGCGCCCGCGCTGCGTTCCGACAAACACAGCGTCGTCGCCAACCGTGTTCCGGCAGAGCGCCCCCCAGAACACGAATTTTTGGTCTGCGACGCTCTCGCACTGCATGTCGTCCTGCATGTTCTGCGGCCGACCCAGAGGCTCGAAGCTCCCGACTCCCCCGTGGGGGAGGGCCTGCCTCCCAACAGGTCGCCGCGGACATCATGCGGGGAACGAACCCCCTCTCGGCTAGTAGCCCTCCACGAGCTTCTCCTCCTTCTTCGCCTGGTCGAACGTCGCCTTCAGGTCGCCCGCGTGGCCACCGCCGAAGATGCCGTCGCCGTCGTCCACCGTCTCGCTGCCCTGCTGCTGACCACCGAGCAGCACCTTCTGGTCGCTCACAGAGCCCCCATCGAAGACGCCGTCTCCGCCGATGACCTTCACCACTTGGTTAGAGCTCAGGCGCCAGAGGGAGAGACGCTGAGCTCGCGCTTGCCCCACCTTGTGGAATGCACCCTGATTTTCCTTCAGGACGCCGTCGAAGCCCCCAAGCAACGGGAGCTTCGGGACCGTCTCGAGACGGACTCCTTCACCAGGTACGTCGCAATTGAGATGCCAGCCAGTCCCACCATCCGTGGTCGAGTCCGCTCCATATCTACTATGCTCCTGTGACTCGGCGTCATCAGTGTCGTCTATGGCCACGTCGAACTTCACCACAGCAGCTGCGGCGACTCCGACCGCTGGGCCTTCTTCTCTTTCTTGGACCTCTTGGCCTTCTTGCGCCGAGGGAAAGAGCGGGACCTCTCGCGCGGCTCCTCCCTCCTCTCCTGGCTCCTCCTCCTCCTCCTCCTCCTCCTCCTCCTCCTCTGGCTCCGCCTCCGCCTCCTTGCATGCCTGCAGCACCCTCTCGAAGCCCAGCCTGGCCCGTCGGCTTGCCGTGGCCCTCTCTCTGCACGCCTGCTCCGCGGCTGGGCCCCGCCGTCATCCCCAGCTGGCACGGCATGCCGAAGTCGCCTGGCGGGGGCGATGGAGGCGCCACGGTCCCGTCCGAGACCGCCAGAAGCACCCCTGCAGCCGCTGGCGCCGAGCTCGGCCGCGCAGTCGGCCTCGCCTTCGCTGGATTGGCGGCCACCTGCTGCGCCTGCGACTCCGGCAACACCCGCGCGGTTGCCTCCACCGCCGAGGAGACCGCGGCATGGACGATCTCCGCGGTGGACTCCTGCCGCATCGGTGGCGAGCGCAGGCGCCAGGGGGCCCGCCCTGCCTCCTCCGAGCCTCGCCATGCCATGCGGCCCGCGCGCCAGATGGCTCCCCCGCGCTGCGCCCCCCCGACGTGCGCGCGGGGATGGCCCGTCCAGGGCCAGGAGTGGCTTTTGAGCCAAAATGGCTTGAGCCATGCTGATGATGAGGATGAGGAGGAGGAGGAAGAGGAGGAGGAGGAGGAAGAGGAGGAGGAGGAGGAGAAAGAGGAGGATGAGGGATGAGGAGGGATGGGGAGAGGAGAGGGAGGAGGGATGAGGGGAATACATGTGCAGAAAAGGCGGGAAGAGGGGGGAGGCGGAGAAGTGACGAGGACGGAGATATGGAGGAGAAGGAGGAGGAGGCGGAGGCGGAGGCGGAGCCAGAGGAGGAGGAGGAGGAGGAGGAGGAGGAGGAGGAGGAAGAGGAGGAGGAGGAAGAGGAGGAGGAGGAGGAGGACGAGGAGGAGGAGGAGGAGGAGGAGGAGGGCGGATGAGGAATCCCACAGTTTCCCGCTCGAGGCATAGTCACACTTTTTCGAAACGCTCCTTGGCTTCAGAACCGAAGAAATGTAGTGTGCTCCGCTCTGGGCGCACCGTGGCTCGTCTCTCCTTCTCCTCCTCCTCCTCCTCCTCCTCCTCCTCCTCATCCTCATCCTCATCCTCATCATCATCATCATCATCATCATCATCATCATCATCATCATCATCATCATCATCATCATCATCATCATCATCATCATCATCATCATCATCATCATCCCCTCCTCCGCCTCCTCCTCCTCCTCTTCTTGTCTTTCCTCCACCCTCGACCTCTGTCTGCCCTGTCTCAGGCCTGCGCAAGGCCGCCAGATCACATCGGCAGATTCACGGGCTACTCCCGATGGGCCCACGCCCTCCAAACTTTTCTTTTCTTTTCATTTATTTTCTGTTCTTTTCCTCCTCCTCCTCATACTGATGCAAACCATGTGGGTGCCACTCTACATAGCCCAGCATCCAGGAAGGGTGCCTTCAAATATAGCGGCTTGCTGCTGCTGCTCCTCCTTCTCCGGGACGTCTCGAGACCCTGGAAGGCCTTCATCTTCTTCTTCTTTTCCTTCTTATCCTCCTCCTCCTCCTCCTCCTCCTCCTCCTCTTGTCCTCCGCCTCATCCCAGAGCTCTCCCGAGGCCCGACAAGGGTGTGAAGCGTCGAGCCATCCCAAACCTCGGTGGCCTCCTCCTCCTCCTGCACAGCCTGAGGCCATGCCGAGGGAGTCCGAACGGGGCGCGAAACAGAAGAGAAGGTCGGCCACGGTCTCCGCGCAGCGGCCAGCCTTGAACGGCACATTGAGGATCGAGGACTGTCTTGTTAGCTATTTTTGTGTTCCCTTCCGAAAGCCAGGAGAGAAGGGGGAGGAGGAGGAGGAGGAGGAGGAGGAGGAGGAGGAGGAGGAAGAGGAGGAGGAGGAAGAGGAGGAGGAGGAGGAGGCGGAGGAGGAGGAAGAGGAGGAGGAGGAGCAGGAGGAGGAGGAGGAGGAGGAGGAGGAGGTGTAGGAGCAGGGGGGAGTAGGGAGTAGGGAGGATGGATGGATGGATGGATAGCGGGAGGGAGGGAGCCAGAGGAGGAGGGAGGATGAAGGGTGGAAGAAGAGGAGGGAGTCGGAGGACCTCCCGAGGACTTGCGTTCGCGAGGGTCTCGTGTGTGCCATGCCAGGGGGGGGGGGCGCGAAGGCGGATACCGCAAGCCCCCATGGCCGACGTGGCCGCGTTCCTGGCTCTCCATCTGGTCCTGCACTGCGCCGTGTCACGCGGTCTGCCACCGCCCCAGCCCACCACACATGCCCATTCGCTCCCATCCCCCTGACACTGACGCAGGATCAGTGGGCATCGAGTCAGAATGTCGTATCGGATCGATCGGATCGAATGGGCCTTTCACTGACGGGTCCTGCGCACGATCGCCATGCTGAGCTTCTCCATGAGGCGCGAATCCTGCATGTTTTCGCGGCTGATATTCATGGGCATGTCCTTGCGGGCGGTGGCACCATGGCGCTGCAGGCAGAAGGGAAGGGAAGGAGGTGCGTTAGGGCGAGGGCGAGGCGGTGCGGGGAGGAGGGGGAGGGCGAGGGGAAGGGGAGGGAAGGTGGAGGAGGGGGAATGGAGGGATGGGAAGGGATGGGATGGGGGGAAGGGGGGACCTGAGGGAGAAAGCACCGTGAGAGGCACACCATCTGTTTGTATGTGCACATGTGTATTCACTTTGGTTGTATGATATGTCTATATATGCAGGTCAAGGTATATATACACATATATATGTATAGAAAAGACACGTACGACTTTACCCAGAGGAAGAAACCTGCGAATCAACACCACATTTATATATATATATATATATCCACCCAAATATACATGTCTACGTCCATCTGTATATGTTACATAAGACAGAGACATCGATCAACAGGGATAACGCTACATAACCATATGTACACATGCCCCACTCGTCCACACATCCACATGTTTGTATATATGTATACATTTACGTATGTATGAATGTACGTTTGTAATTTATAAATACACATATAGATACGTCGCCATAAATATATTTATGTGTAGACATTTACACATATATATACATATATATATATATATGTGAGTGTGTGTGTGTACATGTGTATACACACCGATGCCGACAAATATACACATACATGAAGAAAGCGAGATATGGTATTATATATACGTATACCTATACCTAAGGAGAGAGAGAGAGGGACATACCGAGAACGAGAAACAACATCATACACATATATGCATGTATATATATGTATATATATACAGAGAGAGAGAGAAGGAGCGAGAGTGAGAAAGAAAGAGAGAGAGAGAGAGAGAGCTAGAGAGAGAGAGAGAGAGTGTGAGGGAGAGAGATCGAAGATGAGAGAATTGGAGGAGGGGGAAGGGACAGAGTAGGCGTTGATAGGCAGGATGAGAGCTCGGAGATGGAGATGATAATGAAGATTGCGGAATGAAAGGGGCTGCGGGGGGTGGGGTGGTAATTCGGGAAGGACGCGTCTGACGCAAGAGAGACGCAAGGAGAGACACACATAGACGGTCTGTACTGCTGGGAATTGGTACTCGGAGCGTGCTCGGCCCAGCTGGGGTCCCTTCCTCCTCCTCCTCCTCTACCTCCTCCTCCTCCTCCGCCTCCCTCCTCCCCTTCCCTCTTCTACCCTCCGCCTCTCTCTGCCCTTCTCCCCCGCTGCAAGCTTGAGCTGTATAAGGCTCCGTGTCTGGCCCAACATGGGTTCGGTCATATAATTGTGCGTGCTGGCAGGTTTGTGCTCGGAGGGTTATGGGGTTCGGTTTCGTCTACAAATCTCGGTCACCTGCACAGTTTGAGTCGCAGGCGCCCAGAGTCCACCACTGCTGAATGTACAAGCTTGGCAGGTTGACTCAAAGACTGGGCCCCAAAATGAATCAGTCCACAAGTCCTCTTCTGCCAGTGCTCACGCGCTGGATGATGAATTGGGGAGCCCAGCTGTTGTGTCTTCTAGTCTTGCATTGGTCCTCCATCTCATCAGGTTGATGCAAGAATTGTGCCCCAAAATGAATCAGTCTACAGGTCCTGTTCTGCCTGTGCTAACGCGCTGACTGACGAATAGGGGTCCCAACTGCTGTGTCTTGTACATCCCCAGGACGACAGTTTTTCCCTCTAAGGCCCAGAACGACGGTTTGACGTCTTGAACAGACGCGTATGGGATAACCGCCGTCGGATCCAATGAAGTTCGCGCGGGTCCAATTTTGGCTTTGGTTTCTGTCTCGGTGGATCCGATTTCTGTCCGCGCGGATCCGATATCGGATTTTCTGGATCTGCGTCCGCCCTTATGTTTTACGGCGGATCCGATTTCTACCCCGTCCTAAATGTAGATTCGCTCAAAACGGTGAAGTGGAGGAAATCGGATCCGCAGACCCCGACACCTGCCCGTGTTAAGATTATCCGAGGGAGGGGGTTCGGTCATCAACTTCCCAAAAATGGGTCCTGCGCTGTCTCGCGGACTCCCATCACCTTTCCGCGCGCGGCCCCACTCAACATGAATACATCTTTCTCCTCCCGGTTGCTGCACGCAGCTCGTCCAGAAGCCGTCCGTTCGGCGGCGCCGAGGTTATCTCGCGAACTCATCATCGCCATTTCCAACTCAAGAGGACGAACTTTCGTCCTGCGCAAGTAGTCTTGCGTTGGTCCCCCATCTCATCTCGTGACGCGGGAGCAAAATAACGATCCGCGAAAGCGGGAACATAGCAGAGACCAGCGGAAAGTGCGATAGTAATTCATGTCGTTCAGCCACCAGAGGCGGTTGCATTTGGTCGAATTTTCTTCCTCACATCCTGTTCTCCGTGCTGGGCTTTACGACGGGGGACCCCGATTTGTTAATCTCTGTCCTGGCAGCGCGGCATTTTTTCTTCTGTTCCGGAACTTATGAAGCAATCCATTTCCTCGG